TTCAAAACATCTGAGCTGACTTTCGGACAAAATTGGGACAATGTCAGAAAATTCATCTTTGGTCGGACTGCTTGAAGGTAAGTCCCTTACATGTAAGTAGCTCTGGTAAAGTCTTCTCATTTCTGCTAACTTCTGGAGTATAGCTTCGTAATTTACGAGTTTTAATTTTAATTGTCTTATTCCTCTCTTGACATCTAAACGGTAAGTATCCGTGAGGTCAAGAGTAGCTTTGGTAGCTTTAAGTGGAGCTATCTCTTCTTTGACTTGTGCAATTTTGGTTGCAATTGTGGTTTGAGCTCCTTCAAGTTCGCCGTCTATGTCGTTCTCAACACCTTCAACCATAGCTTGAAACTCTTCATCGGTCCATTGAGTTTGGTGTGGGACGAATTTAACTTGCTTCATTCAAAAAATGAAAAAAAATGTTTTTACTCTAAACATGCCATGTATATGGCTATAAGAAACTTACCAGAAGGCTTCTTCTTCACACGAGTCTTGGTAACTTGAGAGTTCTTGTTGGAGTTGGGTCTGGAATTTCAATTCTTGCCACCATAAACTGTGTATTGACCGAACTTGCATTTGCAGGAAGACCGGTCACTACAAGGTTCACAGTTGAAATAGTTGTACTCATACTTGGTGAGTACGAGTGTGAGTAAAAACATAAAAAAAGTGAGTTAAAATGAGATGTTTACTGAACTGGCTGAATGTCGCCTTCACAGGTTATGTAGAACGGCTGACCAGAGAAGTGAAGGAGAGACTGAATTGCCAATTTCATATGGGGTAGGGGGTTCTCCTTGTTTGGTATTTTTATCCAAGGACGTTTGTTTAGGAACTTAACAAGAGCTTCTCTTTTGGCGTCCTTTATGCCATCGTAGGCTGTCCCGTCTGGTATTTGAATTGGAATTCCAGTCGAAGTCTCGAGCTGAAGTGTAGACCTTCCAGAAATAGTGGTGAACTTGACCTTGGGCTTCATTACCTTGCGCAAGTAGTCTTTTACGCAGTCGTTAATTTCAATTAGGTAAATTGCCTCGTCAAGTCTTTCTTGCATTCCAAGTTCTTCCATCCGACAGGAAAATATTTTCCCGACAAAGGGAAAAATTTTTCCTTCCGACAGGAAGAACTCTTCCAGTTGTCCGTCCGTAAACCATTCAAATTTTCGAAAATTGAGAACTTTTTGGTCGAACTTTAGAAAAAATTTTCCTTCCGACAGAAAAAGTTTTTCCTTCCGACAGAAAAAGTTTTTCCTTCCGACAGGAAAAATTTTTCCTTCCGACAGGACACAAACGGATGACTGACGTTCCTCTTCCTGAATGCCTTCCAAAGCCAGAAGAACCGAAAGCTGCAGAACCACAACAGTCTCCTCAGCAACCTCAGTTCCAGCAAGTACCTCCACCAAATTACTACCAATTTCCACCTCAAGGTTACTACCCACCACAAGGCTTCCCGAACTACCCTCCTCAGCCTATGCCTTACTTCCCCAACCCTTGGTTGTTCCAGCAAGCTCCACCCCAGCAATTCCAATCTCAATCCCAATCGAAGAGAGACCAAGAGTTCGAAGAAGGTCTGAACCGTTTACGCAAAGATTATGCCACAGCCCCTATGGAAGATGACAGGCTTTCAGTCTCTTCCCTAAGGTCGACCAATTCTACTCGTACCACAGATTCGGTTCGTGACCGTGATGACTACCTTAAGCAGTCTGAGAGACTCTTCATCTTACAGCCATTTACAGCTGGAGCTCTCAAGAACATGCGCAATTACGAAGGTCAAACACCAGCTGGAGACCGCAAAACAGACGTGCTTACAAGAGCAGTCCAACTGGTCAAGACAAAGACTGAGATAGTCGACTTCATTCTTGCAGCTTGCCCTTACAAGTAAAAAAATAAACAATTACGAATTAAACTTTTTACTCTTTCTTTTCTGAGTTGTTTAGAGCTGGTTTCTCTTGTAGAAACCTTTCGTACTCTTCCATGGTCATGTAATTGCGAATTTGGTACGCAATTCCAGGTTCGTTGTTTTTGAACCTTACGTATGTAACGCTTCCATCCTCCTCAGGGAAGTAAGCTGCTAACATCTGACCAAGTTTTCTCGGTGACTCGGAGCTCATTAAAAATGTCACTTTTTAAACGTTAAGTTTTTAGTCTTATTTTACCCTTTGTTTGTCAAGGTAGTATTGGAGCGCAATTTCTCCAAATTCTCTGTGTCGGAGTTCTTCAGCATTTTCCAAGGTGTACCTGGAGAACTCAAAGAAGTTGTCAAGAACATATTGCCATGCTGCTCTTCTGAGTTCGTCGGTATTTTGGAAGTGTTGCACCTTCGAGTCTTCGGACATGAAAAAATGACACTTTTTCTGTTAAACCGTTTTGGCATTTCTCATGAGTGAGTATAGTTCTGCCGAACCATTGGAAGAGAAGAAGTACCCTTGCTGGCAAAAGACAAAAATAGTTGCCTTAGTTGTCATTGCAATTGTACTCGTAATTGAATTCATTGTACTTCTCTTCACGTACATAAAACTCAGCAATTTGCTTTAAGAAGCTACCATCTTACTAAGACTAAACACTTAGATTTTTCAAGCTTGACTTTTTACAATTTGAACTTTGTTTGCGTAGATATGAATTCTGAAAGAAGTATGAGGGTCTTGTATGACTTTGTACTTCTCCCATAGTTCATGTCTGTCAAACTTACCTGCCATGGACTCTTTCATAAGTTCCATGAAATCGTCTTCGGACAATCCGGGGAAAAGTATTATGTCAGTAAGTATTCTTTTAACATCGTTACTTAAACTCTTTGCTTTCTGTACACAAATGACAACTGAGATGTTAAAGTGTCTGAGCTTCTTAAGAATTCGACACATGTCTTGTTCTCTGTTCTTTAACAAAGGATGAGAAGCAAAGTCATCTAAGATAAGAAGACATCTATGAGGGTAAGTCTTCCAATCGTAAGATTGCAATTTCTTCGAAATGTATTCTATCTCTTTCTGTTTGTTTCTGAAGTGTTTCTTCTCTAATATTCTCTGCATTTCCTCATTTGGGTCTTTAAACTTAGAATTTATATACTCATTTATAGCATTGTACTTCAAAACCTTCTTTGGTACTTCTTTATCCAATCTAACAACTCAGTATCCTTTATACATACTAACTTAGACTTCTTTATAATATCTTTGAACGAATTGACGGTTTGGTCAAATTGACCAGAAGTACTACAAATAACAACTAACTCATAGAATGGGTTCTTCTCATCTAGTTCTTGTTGTTGTGCAGCCATTTTAAGATAAGTGAAAGTCTTACCAGACCCAGGTGGTGCAATTAGACCTGTTATACCATTCTGAGCAAATAAGAACTTGTCATGTATAGGCTTTATCTGAGCATTTTAACTTCCTCTTGTTCTTGTTTAAAACATTCTCAAATTTCTTGTCAATGTCAGCAAACTTTTTTTCTAACATATTTTTAGAAAAATTAAAAATTTTATCTTTTAGAAAATGTCTAGCGATTTCGCTATCTATATTCGAGACAAGCTTTTCGACAGCAAAAATCTGTCGACCATAAAATCTTACATAGTGTAAACAAGAAAGGGAATTTGTTCTAAAGTTCTGTTTCTGGGAATATGACAAGAACCATAAAACATTAAGCAGAGCAGTCTTAAAATTTGTCAATGACAGACTTGTTGACAGAGATGACGCCATTGGAAAGATGAAGTCCAACAAAAGTTCTTAGAATGCAAAGAAGACACATGCGCTGTTCTTGAAGATGAAATAGAAAACAGAATAGATGAGCTATTAAAGGACAAAGAACTTTTACATAAATATGGTTGCGCAAAATTTGACATAACTCCACCAGAAAAGAAGAAGAGAGAAAAGAAAGAAAAGAAAGTAGAAGAAGAGAAGAAAGAACCTGAACCAGTTCCAGAGAAAAAGAAATTTGACATGTAAAAATAAAATTTTATTTTTAGAACATTTCTGGGTCAATGTCAATGTTCTCTTCCTCTTTAGGAGTAAACACTGGCTTAGACTCTAAAATCTTTTTACCCAATTTACCTTGAACTTCTACAACTTTAGACTCATAATATTCATAGTCGTCTGTCTTCTTTGGTTCATAAGGTATAACAAGTTTGTATGCTTTGCCTTCTTTAAGGTTTGAGAACCTTCTGTCAAAACTTTCTTTGACTGTTAACAAACCTTCTATGTCTAAGTCTTCAAATTTCGCACCATTTTTAGTCACAATAGCAAACTTAACTGGTTCGATGTTCCAAACTTTGCTGAATGAAGACTTTTCAAAATGGTAGAAGTAAACATTCAAATATGTGAATGGGTCTAGTTCTTCTTTAAGTCCTGACATGTACTTGTTTACTGAGATGAATTTTGTCATCTTTTCTATCGGATAAAAAAATATTTTTTTTAAATTTACTCAGAAAAATTTTTCTTTGTATATACACCATTCTGAACATCTAAAAGACTTTTGACATTTGCCAAGAATGTACGTTTAGAAGCTGCCATATAACCATATTCTTGACAATATTGTTTATATTCATCATATAAAGACCTTTCATCTAATGACACAAAGTCAGTTTCATCTATGAACAGTTCATATACACTCTTGTTTGCTTCTAACAATGTTTGTCTCTCTTCGGTATGTGGAATTTGTCTTGGATTGAACTTAGAAATATCTAATGTCATGAAATATGAGAACAAGTGGTTGTAAAAGTCAGATGTCAAAGTTTCTGCTAAGTCGTCAAAATATTCTGTATCTTGCATATGAGAATCTGACGTTCTGACAACTACATATCTTCTGTCAGAACTTTCTAACTTCATCGGAACAGCATTGTTTGAAACCATAATGAAGTTTGCAACATTTTCACAAACTCTTTGGTCTTTATACTTTCTTTCAACAACTCCAACTTTGTCTGTTATAAGACTCTTCAAAGCATCTGAGTTCAAAACTTTTGTTGTATCTATACTTTGAAGTTCATTGCAAACTATAAGTTTCATATTCTCTATTGAGGAGTTAAACTTGCCACAGATGTTTTCTAAGTTTGTCATATTCGGATTCGAATAACCTTCTAACAGTTTGCATAAGATATCTGTAAAGAATGTGTTCTTACCTGTTCCTTGTTTTCCAATTATAATGAGAGCAGTTTCATTTTTAGCACTTGGATGTTGTAAGATGTTTGCAAACCAACATAAGATATACTCATAAACCTTTTCGTTTCCATTGCATATAATTTCTTTGACATGGTCTAACCAAGCTTCTATAATACTGTGTTTCCATTCTACTTGTTCATATTTATATCCAGTGAAGATAGAATAGAAGTTTGGAGAAGGTGTATAGAACTTTATACCTCGAACTGAAAAATCTTCTAACTTTGACAATAAGATATCCCAAGCATCTAACATCTTCATTCCAACTTGTACAACTTTTATTTTCTTAAGTTTCTGTCTACATTCTTGTTCAGACACTATTGTTGCTCTTGGTTTGTTAAAGACAACATCCCATTCTTTCATGACATAACATTCTGGGGCAGAGTCAACATAAATGACTAAACGTTTCAAATTCTCGACTGCTTTGTTATAGTCTCTAAATGGACACATATTTCTGAATGCTTGGAAGTCATAAAAATCTGAAACATCTATTCTGTACATTTTTATAAAAATAAAAAATAATATTTTTTTATTCTTGACTTTGTTGTTGCATTTGTTGTTTGTTCTTGAGCTATTTGTTGTTGAAGTTGTTCTTGTAATACAATACTTTCACCAGTTGCATCTTCCAATTCGAAACTTTCTGCCGTCATTGACAAATACATAGGACATAAAAGTTTTACAGGAACAAAGTTTGCGTCAACTAATGTCAACGTTATACTTGCCAAAGTGTTTGAGTTCACTAAGGTTGAAAATTCTGCATTCGAATGAACAATAGGCAAACCAGCAGAGAAAGTATTGTTTATACGCATAAGTATCTTTTGGTCATAATAGTTTCTGTCGACATTCGAATAACACTTTGAACCTAAGTTTGAAACAATATATAAGATTGGTGTGCTTAATGTCAATGGAATAGACATTCCTTGTATGACACCTTTTCCTGTTATAGGAAACTGTTGGTAGTAAAAACCAGAAATAAGTTTTGTATTATAGCTCATATCGTTTATAGTAAACTCAGTCGGACATCCAAACATAATGAAACCTGCTCTAGTTGCAGCACATGTTACACCCGTACTTAAAGTATTAAATAAGTCAACAAAACCTGTTGGTGGTATATCTGAGTAAGTATCTTCAAAGGAGTATTTTTTACCATTCACAACAATAAAGTCTTCTGGTGTCAAAAGAGCAAAACAGGCTTTAGTCGTCATTGTGTTTAAGGTTAGTTTACAATATCGTCCTTGAGGACTTTGTAAGTTTGTTGTTATAGAATTATATGACTCAGGGTTTTTAGTCGTAATAGTATAAACCATTATGTCTTCTGCCATTTACTTAGCAAATAAATTTAATGAAATGTTGTGGTCGTCAAATATTTTTATAACGTCTGGGAAACTATATTTTAAGTTCAACGTTTCACCTCCTTTCATAACGTATATCTTGTCAATGGCATTATATGAAACACCACAGCAACTAATGTCGGGTTCTATTTCTTTGATGTTTATATCGTCTGCCTCTGTCAAAAGTTTCAATAGTTCTTTCAAAACTTCATGAGGTGCAATGACATATGAGTTCACTTTTACAGGGTTGTGTTCGACCAAGTTTAACATTATACTTAAAGCTTGACAAATCTTCTCCTGAGTTTGAAGTTTGTCTTTCAGTTGTTGGTAGTCGTTTCGAATATCTGCAACAGAACTTAAGTCTCTGCTAACTTCAGGATATGTTGGTTCTTTTACAGGAACAATTGTTATACCATCTTCGTCTTCGTATGGTTTCCCCACTTCAACATCTCTGTCTTTGACATTGACAACAACACTTTGACTGTTTGTTTGAGTTGGTGAATTTAACTTCACATCTGCCACCGCCATTAAACCTTTTGAAACACTTATGCTTCTATTTTTCGGAAATGACATTTTACTTAGAATAAAAAGATGGACGTATTCGGATATCTTATTGAATTGAAGCAGAACAAAGTTTATACTCACAAACAATACAAATACATTGACAGAATAGTTCTTTACACAAACAATGGAAAATGTTATAGAATAGCAATATTTGCTGAACCAAAATATTTTCATAAAGCAAAGAAAGTTGGTATAACTGAAATGGTGAAAGTTCTTGAAGCAGACAAAAATATAACTTCAAAACTGACCGATATTACTAAAGGAAAGTTTATAATACAATATTATGTCAAAATGGCGTACTGTCAATATTTGACGGAGAGAAGTCAGTTCAAGAACAACTTACTGACCTGCTGCCAAAATCTGCTCGATGGAAGCTGTCGTTATGCCAATCTGAGGAGCCCCAGCAGGTTTCATCGAACGAATCTTCAAAAGAGCATCTTCCGTGAAAAGTGCTATTGGTTTTGTAAACTTCTTTGCTCTCAATTCATCTGGACCGTCTCTGTCACCAGTTATTGTATTTGAACTGTACCAACAGTTGAAATACCACCCATAAAGTCTTCTGAGTCAGCAAATGGAATGCCAAGCCAAAAGTTTGAACGGTCTCCATTTGTATATTGAGTTTTTTGACCTCCTGTATGAGTCCATACTTTCACATATGGCATAATAGAACTTTGCATTTCAGGGTTAATGGTTGTTGTGAAGTTGTTGTTAAAGTTCATAGCATCTAATGTCAAGTTATATGACCTCATATCCTCAACTGTAGAATATTCTTCTCTTGGATAATATTTGCCATCTATGTTTATATGATATTTAATACCAGGGTTGTAGAAACAAGAATAGTCATTTATAGTTCGTCTGAACAGTACAAACATAGTATCTGCATGTTTCATTGCAGTTGTTAAAGCAATATCTGTTCTTGCACCTGGGTCAGCACTTTGGTTTCCAACTTCACCTGCAAAGTCTTTGACAGATATTTGGTGTATAGGGAACATAAGTGGAACTGCAATATATTTGGCAGCTAAAGCATTTGAAATATCTGGGTCCAACATATAGACTGCAAGTCTGCTTTCTATTCTCTTGCATTCAAATTTTTCGCATGTGAACTTAACTGGGTCCCAAGCATCTCCAGCAGCATTGAAATAATAGTTTACTTCAGTGTTGAGGTTTGAGAAACCAAAGTCTAAGTCAACTTTGTCTTTGCAAAATTCGGCGAATGATGTTTTATTTGTTCCCTTTACGTCTGTAAGAGTGAATGGGTCTTGTGTTGGTGCAATGACTAAGTTATTTTTGCTTGGAGTAAGTTCGATAGAAATTTTTCCTGCCCAGTTTGGCAAGTATCTTAAAAACCTGAAGATGAGGAAAGATGACAAAGGAACTCTAAGTTTCAGTTTTACTTTGGTTACTGCTGCTGCAGTTTGTCCAGAAAGGTTAACATAAACTCCTGGAACGTTAGGGTCAAGTCTTCTTATTTTCTCAATAGTTGCATACTGGTCTGTTTGTTCTCTAGCTTGTGGTTGTACTGAGTTTCTCAAAGCGAACCATTCATAGTTTGCCCATGTTACTGTTTGAACTAAGTCAGAGTTAGAATATATCTTATATCCCATGAAAACTTCTGGAGCATATTGGTATCCGACATAGAAAATTCCATTGCAACCTTTCTTGTCAGACAACTTGGCAGAAGGTTTTATTTCAATGTCTTGTTCCACGTATAAGAATGAGTTGTCAATAGAAATAATATGAAACCTGTCGCAAGCAATATCTACTGTTGTTGAAGAACATTCTCCAAACTCACCTACGTTTCCATAAGAAACAGCAGTTGTATATTCGTAAGTTCCAGGAACTATTTCTGACCTTCTAATGGCATTGTCGCATTCGTTATACCATTCGGAAACATTTCCGTTCATGGCATCCAAAACTGTTGGCGTTATATTCTGAGCGGCGTACATTTCATATGGGTAAAAATATAGAATAGTTGGATTTATATGTCATAATAGAACCCACTCGACCAAGCTTTACTTTCTTCCTGACTGAGTTTTTAACTCTTCTTTTTCCTTCATTGCCACTACTTTCACTAGATGAAGTTACTTCTTCACTACTTTCACTTTGTTCTACTCTTCTTCTTTGGTGTCGCTTTTGGTAACTTGCCCTCTGCTTCAAGTTGTTGCATCTTTGCCTCATGTTCACCTAGTATGTTGTAAATTTCCCATGTCCTTTTTGCCTTTGGGCTCTGGTCGCCCATCTCAGGTAACCTATATCCTAGAAAGATTTTGTCATAGTTTGTTTTGAGTCTTCGCGTATTGTTTGCATGACTCTTTCCTAAGTTTCCGGTTCAAGCTCTTCAAACAGAGCTTGTCCATATGGAATAAGCTCGTTTCCAAATATATGTTTTTGTAGCCATTCTGGTTTTCTTTCCATGTTACCAATAATATCTTTTGTGAATGGGAAAGCTTTTACCCAATGTTTCAGTCTTGCGTCATTTATTTCTGTAGTTGGTTTTATTTTGTCAAGGAACATGTTTTTCAATACTAACATTTCATTTGGTACTGTCCATTTGAGTTTTCTTAAATATTCATCCATTCTCGGTTCATTGTCTGCAAAGTAAGTTTTTATGACATTTTGCAAACTTTCGTTTGCAAGGTCATGTACAATAGGTTCTCTTCCTTCTCTCTCCCTAACTTTCTTTCTAAACTATTCACCAAATATACCATCTCTATGGTTCTGTGTAGTTCTTTGAGATAAATGTTCTAGAACGTCAGGTGTTATATTTCCATCAGCCATGTTCATTTCATACTGGTCCAAAATATCTGCATGTTTCATATCTTTCAATGGCATTAAAGCCGCGCTGAAAATACCAGCTATATCTGGTTCACCATTCACTTCCATTGCGTCTACAACTTCTTGGAATTGAGGTTGTAAGTTTATGAACCACCTATCCGGATTAGCTTTATGACCCCATCTCATTGTAGTTCCATAGTCTGCAGAAACAAAAGTAGGTTTGTTTCCATATTGGTTAGGTTCTGAATGAACTTTAAACAATGTTTCATTTCTATATGTTTTGTTGAAATTTAACCTTTTATTTCACCGAGTTCAGCCAAAGATTGAACGTTATATGGTCGTAAGTAAAAAGGATTATTGTATTTGCGTACATTTTCTTTCAGTACTTCCATTCTATGCTGAATATTTTCATCTGATGTTGGAGTCTTTTGTATGTCGGCGAACATTTTTCGATATTCTTCTACTATGTCAGCCGAATTTTTCTTAGACTCTTGGAAAGATTCCATATTCACCTCATACTCTTGTTGAGGGTCAAGATTTTTCGGCTGTTCCAAATCTTCATCTAGTTCTGTGAAGTTAGTTTCCAAAGGAGGGACTTGTTCGTTTCCTTCAGGCTCTTCTAGCTGTTGTTGCTGAACTATTTCTTCCATGTCTGGTTGTATCTGAACTTCTT